AATTTAATGAGAATGAAAGATTTTGTGCCGCCTTAGAATAGGAACAATAATTGTTAATAAATGTCTTATTTAGTTTTAATAGCGGCCGCCCGCGACTTCGGGCACGTTAATTTTAGTTTTTAGAGAACCCCTCAGCAGATATAACCTTTTTTGGGATGTAAAGTATCCTATGTCTCAATCCAGGTAATAAACTATATGTGTGCCTAATTTCATCTAAATCCGTTCTGCCGTTATTGCGCGACTGAGTACGAAACATACAAACTTTTACATTTCTAATATTAGTAGGTTTTAACATGAGTCCGTCAGGGCTAGGGTTACCATCCGTCCGGATTTATCCGGACATGTCCGGACTTTTTGTCTTTTTTCCTGACTTTGTCCGGCTTTTTAGTGTGTCCGTATTTTTTTAATTAGATGGAGTATGAGTAAAGATACTTATTAAGTTATATCAAATAAGTCAAATAATCTTTATAAAGTTCTCATTAATTTAAAACAAAATATAAATCATCTTGATCGATAGACCCCCCTCCCGATGCGAGCGTCTGCTACCACGCGTATAATAACACTGTAGCTAAGTGGGAGATGTTTGCATTTTGTGACTAAAATGTCCGGACTTTTATCGAAATGTCCGGCTTTGTGTCAGGACTTTTAAAAATTTTAAATAGTAAGCCTAGTCAGGGCCCAAACAAGCAACTTAAAATCATATTACGTTTTCATTTTAAGTAACAAACCGAGCGAGTCTTTTATAAATGGCGTCATTAGGACATCATGAAGGAAAATAGCGCTGTAACAGTCACGTAATAGAAATGTGTAGCACGTCGGCAAATTGGTGTATTATATATGAAAACGTGCAGAAAATAACTAAATTTTAGCAGATTTTAGTGATAAAAATAAATACATAACACTTATCGCTTAGTGTTGATATTTTGCGTTAAAATGATTTTGCCAAATTTTCTGCGCTTTTGATTGCTGAAATCGGAATGAGATACTGCGAGCGGAGACATCCCATTAAGGATATCGTTTAGTAAGCAAAGATGAAGTTAACACAAGTGCTTCCACTGGAAGAACAATATTCCGACGAATTAAAAGAGTAAACTCGTCGGAGTCTTCTTAGTGATAGGTAAAAAATATCTTACTCCGGTCCATCCAACGATTTCCGGCTCATTCTTTTTTCAGTGGATCCCTAGAATTAAAGCATAATAAGAGACAGGATTAACTGTTAATAATGGGAATTTATAATAAATCAAAATGAGAAAGTACGATCAGCCATTTTTATTCCAGATCCACCATAAGCTTATTTTGTTACAACCATTCAAAACATTATAGTAGATTTTTGCTTAAATGTACGTATCCCTGGAAATAAACTTGATATTTTCTGAATGATCATTTTGACGTGACAGATTTTGCCGCCTTCCTGTGACATAAAATTATTTGAAGTTTTGCCCATGGGCTAAGGATTCCCCTATTATTTTACCAACGTTTTTCATAATATCAAAAATTCAAAAAGCTTATTTTACGATTTGCGATTTAAAAAGTGTTTTTGAAATTCAAACTACTATTCCAATTTTATCTATAACATGTCTATAGCATCGAAAATAAAGGAAAATTTTAAAATATCTTTGACTAATAGAGTCTGTGCGGAAAGAGAATGGGATTTAGATTGGAGGGCGCTGTAGTGCTTTTCTACCGTATTTGTAAGGTTTTACCCCTTTTAAATGATTAAATACAAAAAACCGCAAGAAATCACAACAATAAACAAATCCGTATCAATACAAAACTTTGACGTTTTACAGATTGCTGGGTTTGATTGTCAAATAAAAATCTTAATGTTAGTTCCGTTTTTCGCCACGCCCATTCTCTTTCCGCACATACTCTTTTAACACAGTTTCCTTGTTATTAGAAGGTCCTAAGTGCAATTACGCATTCCCTATAAAGGAGAACTTGTCAGTTTTGTCATTTTTAAGCGAACTATCGGGCAAGTGGGTCAGAAATTACTTGGCTCTATCGTCTCCTTAAAAATATAAATTTATAAAAGATCAGAAAGATGAAGGTGTTACCTTAATATTAAATGCAATATTAAAGTTAGAAAAGGTTTTTGTAAGATTTAAAAAGTGATGTGCATTATAACAAAGATATGGTGTTACATTCAGAAGTTACTAGTTACTTAAGTTACTTCTGCTGTGGGAATTTTCCCACATTTTGGAATTGCACCTACTCTAGTAATTTAACTTCATTCAGCTTAAAACGATTAGGTAAGTTTCAAAAGGAAATGGGTACCTACCAAGTTATGTTTTTTAATTTCTTTACTTGACCCAGGAAAAGTTTTAGATTGGAAAGCCTTACAAGTTTCAAGTTTGTTTACAAAAAAGAGAACCTACTCGAGGTTGAATCAAAGTGTTTGAATAAAACTCAGAAGTTAGCCAAGTCGTACTGTTGGGGTTGAATATTTAAAGAATCATTGGGAGTAAGTCAATGTAAATAGCTTTAGTAAACTTCAATACCGTCTTTGCTTAAATCATAATATTAATAACTTACATTAACCACAGTTATATTACTGATCTCTAACTTTTAATTGTATTAACTTAGGTTTACCATAAATTTCATCATTGACCTTAATGACATTTTAGCGGCCGCTCGCGACTTCGTCTACGTTAACTTTAGTTTTTTTAGAATTACAGGAACCTGACACTTTTTCGAGATAAAAACTATATGCATATCAAATTTTAACTAAATCCATTGAGTAGTTTTGGCGAGATTGCGTAACAAACTTTGAAATGTACAACCTTTTTAGCATTTATGATATTAGTAGAATAGAATATTCCTTGCGAGGTTGGCAGACCATCAAACCTGCCAACCTCGCAAGGGATATTCTGCTGTATCTTGAGAATAAAAAATAGGCATATATATTAACATATTTCCCATAGCTACACCTTGATGCCGCCACATTTGGCATTCGTTGGGTCCTGGATGTTGTCTGGATATGATAGCGTGCTAGCCTATCTCTTACGAAAGTTTACGAATAAATGCCACGTCCGTTGATAGGATTTTAGCTTTTGAAAAGTTACTTGCCGGTGAATTCTGTTTTCTTTCTCTCCCAACTTAGCATTTGAGATTGACTTAATGTATGCAACTACATCAATACTTAATATATTTCTTCTTAAAACAAATGTAAATTTCTTTTCACGTGGAATCTGCTAAGTTTTTCATGAAAATATAAAGAAAATTCAAATCAGTTACGTAGACGCGAATCTGTTTAACAGTCGTAAAACGCATTACAAATACAAAACAATATTGAATCGAATTCACGATTACCGTGCGACATATTTTTTCTGAAGAATGCTTACATTGAAAATATATATTCGCGAAAGCCGATTTTATGTAAGTGGTCGTAAGAGAAAAAGAGCTTTGACATGTGACATAATACCTGCTTTCCCTCATTCTACTGGGTATTTACCTGTGTTTTGTTCACAAAACCAAGTCGGCTTGAGCTCGGCAAATGAAAAGAGGGGAGATTTTTTCACTTCGCTCGCTCGTAATCTACATTTGTTATTCAAATAACGTGCTAACTAGCGCTTTTGAGTTGTGGTGGGCAAAAGAGTGTTAATATTTATGAACTTAAAATCTCTATGAATACATAGTGTTCAAAATAATATATGAGATAGAATTTCAAAACAATTAAGTAAAATAAAATAAGAATAAAGGTATTGAAAATCTAGTACTAGAAACACTAGTTTTACTATTGCATTTGAATTGATCATATAATGTATTCTAACGTTAGATTTTTACAATTTATTAATAAACTAGCGGCCCGCCCTCGCTTCGCTTCGGTGTAGAGCTAAAGTGTAGACTACAATTTTTGTTCTCAGGCTTGAAGAAGAAGAATCATAGATGAATGTCGTTGTGTATAATATACACAATGACATTCATCTATGATTATTCTTATACCTGCATGCAAAGTCTCAGCCCGATCGGTTTAAAATTGACAGTTTCGTACAAACTTTTATTCCCTATTTTATCCCCTTGGGGGTAGAATTGATCAAAATCCTTTCTTAGCGGATGCCTACGTCATAACATCCATCTGCATGCCAAATTTCAGCCCGATCCGTCCAGTGGTTTGGGTTGTGCGTTGATAGATCAGTATGTCAGTCTGTCAGTCACCATTGAGTTTTATATATATACATAGATTTTTAGTGTCAAAACATTGTTATCCACCTTTCAAAGCGCCGAAACAAAAGTCCAATATCTTTCTCTTTCCAATTCATTATCAGACTTATTGGTAAAAGTAGGACGGACCGAATGCTGCATATTGTTGCTATTTTAACATTCGTTCTATGTTCATTATTATTTTAAGAGTAGAACAAGTGTTTAATCTGTATTAGATATTTTATATTTAGGTATATTCGGAAATTAGGCAATACGACACCAATTGTCATATTGTCTACCTTGGAAGGTATTGTTAGCAGTACGCAGGTGGTGCATTCTCCACAACATGATTTCATTTTCTTATTTCTAGCCGCCTGAGGTTTTCAAATGCCTCGCGGTTTTTTTTATTTTTGCAATGGTAATAACGATATTAAAGAAAATGAGCGTGAGGTATTTGAAAACCTTCGGCGGTCAGAAATAACTAAATGAAATCGAAAGCGTTAGCGTTTTCCAAAGCATTTCCGTTAGGCGAATTGCCCCCTGGTCATCGGCAACATACGAAATTGGTATTGAATATGAAAAACAAAACGCCAATCTGCATTTAATTGTTGACTTGCGACGAACTCTGCTCTCCTATATGTATCTACTGTATCTACCTGTATAAAGGGCGCTGTAAACGATCAAATTTGACAAACAAATTTGATCGTACTTAACTTCACGTTTTCATGAAACATGTTCAACAAATGCATCAACCATAACCTTAAACGAACAAATATATTTTTGTCAAACAAATTTGATCGTTTACAGGGCCCTTATAGAGGTAGAGATATTTTTTGTTAAATCATCGTTTTTATATTCAGAATCCGATTCGAGTTCATCACCCTCCGAGTCTGATTCGTGCTCGTCGCGCACGGAGCGTAGCACGGCGACTGCTCCGCATGTGCCGCAGCCGTTCATGGGAAAACGGCTCTCCCTGGGGTTCGCGCTTTCGACCAAAACCCATCACTACGGCAGCTTCTACCTGAGAATGGGAGCTGTTGGTAAGTACTGAGGCCTAAGCAAGATTTTTGACAGCTCTGTAAGGTATCGCATCGTAAAAGTTTCTGTGAAAACTAAGCAGCGTCCCTGTCGTACGTAAGAACAAATTAGCTTTTTTCATACAAAATTTGACGATTACGATACTTTATGGAGCTGTGAAAAACTCGTGCTTGGGCCTTTGTTCATTTTACTGCCAAGTGCTAGTCGCATGACCGCAAATGTGAAGGAAGCTGGTTTGGTATATCACGTCTTAAAGAAAAAAATGTGGTGTTTCATGAAACACCTTATAAAGTATTTTAAACACTTTGTTGATGTTATCCAGGCAAAACAAAACAAAAATTGCAAAACAAAAAAGTATTTCCTCGGCTGGGTATCGAACTTGGGAGCTCTCGTTGCAGGCGAGCAGTCTACCACTGAACCACCGATGCCTGTAGACAAGGTCTGAATGTTTAAATAATTAAAAAATCAAAAAACCCGACTGCTTAAATATTACTTGAAATAAAAACTGAAAGAAAAAAACAAGTCCAGTAGTCTATAATTGACGACCTCCGTAGTCGAGTGGTTTGTACGCCGGGTTTCATGGTGTTGCCGACTCGAGAGGTCCCGGGTTCGAGTCCCGGTGGGGGCAGATGTTTGTGTGATGAATACGAGCATTTGAACTCCAGTCATGGATGTTTAATATGTATTTTCTATAAAAATATACTTATATATGTACATTTTATGTATTCTATCCGTTACCCTAGCATCCCATAACACAAGCCTTATAGTGCTTACTTTGGGGCTAAGCTAATTGGTGTGAGTGTTGGAAATATTTATTTATTTATTTATTTATAATTCTATTAAGTAAAGAGCAAAGCTACTTTAACAGTCGGGTTAACCCATTATTGAAAAAAATTTATCCATCCTTGAATATCTAACTAACTTATTGTTATATTTTGGCCAATTGACCAAATAACAACATAAAAGTCCATCCCGCGCCAAAGTCTTAAACGCAGTCTTGTTTGGAGCGTTTCGCACGTGTAAAGGAAGTGCATTCCAGAGCCGAATGGCAGTAAGAGTAAATGAACTGGAGACAAAGCCGGTATGGTGAATAGGCACACTAAGAATCACATTATTATTAGAACGAAGATTTAATTGATGAGAAGACCCCAGGAACTGAAAACGAGATTTTAGATATCCAGGAGTAAGTGGATCATAAAGTATGTTGTAAAGTGTGCAAACTATCCTTAAGTGTCTACGCTCCCGAATAGGCATCCACTTAAGTTTACTGCGGAATTCAGAAATGTGGTCGTATTTTCGCAAACCGAAAACGAAGCGAATAGTGTTGTTGAGGAGTCGATCCAATTTAGTTATAAATATTTGATTTATGTCAGTAAAACAAACATCGGCATAATCAAGTAGGGGATGAACAAGGGATTGAATGAGTGTGATCTTAGTACACGGTGGGAGAAAATTATTCAAGCGGTAAAGTGAACCCAGTGTACCATTCACCTTGCGGCCTATATTTTCAATTTGGCCATCCCAGCTCAGAGTGTTATCAAGTACTAGCCCAAGATCTTTTACCCTCGCAGAATAAGGTATCACTAAACCATTGAATGTAACTGCTGGTACTGTGTTTAAATGCAGCTGGGAAATCTGTCGTGAACCGCCAATAATGATAGCCTGACACTTGACTGGGTTTATGCTAATCCCGAAGCTATTAGACCACTCAAGTATCCTAGCTAGGTTTTGATTGATCAGACAGACTGCTCTCCCCAGGTTAGGTAGGGTTTCCTGTGCATACAATTGCAGGTCGTCTGCATACAGATGATAAGAGGCTGAAAGAATGGAGGTAAGGGAGTTAATAAATAAGGAAAAGAAGAGAGGTGAGATCACGCCTCCCTGAGGTACTCCGAGGGATAAGTCGAACCAGTCAGAGATTGATTGGTCGATTTTTACGGCTTGTTGTCGCCCGCGAAGGTAGGAATCGAACCACTTCAGCGCATTGGAGGAGCACCCAAGCTGAGCAAGAAGAGCAAGAAGGATATCATGATCAACTGCATTGAAAGCGTTTGAAAAATCGAGTAGAACTAATACAGTCAGTCGCGATTCCTCCATGCCATCGCGTATGTCCTCAACAATCTTCATAAGCGCTGTAGTAGTACTGTGCCCCGGGGCGGAAACCTGACTGAAAGGGTGTGAGAAGTTGGTTGCGATATACAAAGGAGGACAGTTGTTTATGAACCGCAGCTTCGAGAACCTTAGAAAGGTAAGGTAAAATAGAGATAGATCTAAAGTGATCGAGAGAAATGGGATTAGAAATTTTGGGAAGAGGAATGGAGAAAGCTTTACGCCAAACATTGGGAAATGAACCAGTAGATAGGGATTTATTTAAGATGAAAGTCAATATAGGCAGTAGAGGATCCAATAATAATAATCATTTATTTCAGATAATTATAAATTTATAATCCATAGTTATTAGTACAAGTTAGTAACAATGTCGGGCTTATCCTATGTTAGTAGTATTAGTATATTAATTAATCAATCATTACCAAATTATCCATATTAATTATATTCACAATTATAATCTATTGTACATGTCAATTAAATTAAGTTAACAATTAATAGATATAGGTACGACAATATTCATGGGTGTAAAGCATGTAGGTGCACCCAGCGCTTCAACATTGGACTGTCCCAGCGTGCCGCCAATGTTCTCAGGATGCCGTTGGAGCTGGCGCGCAGTCGCCCCAGCATAGATGCACACCTTTTTCTCATTATCGCGTGAAATCCATCTATCTGGGACTCCGCAAACATGCCCGAGGCACTACAAAAGCGCGGCAGCCCCATCAGCACCCTGAATGCATTGTTGTACTGCACACGCAAGTCACTGTATGCCCTCTGCGTATAGTCCACCCACAGGCTGCATGTGTAAAAAGACTGACAATATGCTTTAAATAGTGTGACTTTAACCTGATTAGTACAATGTGCGAACCTGCGGGCGATCATATTGCATCGGACAGCCAACGACCTGCGTTCCCGATTTATGTCCAAATTGTCATTTAAATTCGACGTGATCCAGTGACCCAGGTATTTAAACTGCTCAACTCTGTTCAACGGTGACCCGTCAAGTGAAACATTTGGAACTATAGAATAAGTTTTATTGTCCGCCTTGAAAACCATTATCTCACTTTTCTTCGAGTTATACCTGAGTCCATGGCCCTTGACATATTTTTCACAAATACCCAAAAGACGCCTCAAGGCACTAATCGAAGGGCTCAACAACACCATATCGTCTGCATAGCGGATGTTGTTTACGCAGACACCGTCAATATGGCATCTGATTTTTGTGCTATTGAGCTCCTCAATCAGCCCATTAATGTACACATTAAACAAGCTAGGTGAAGTCAATCCCCCTGTCTCACCCTACACTCTAGCCTGTATGCATCAGAAAGCGAGTCTGCCCATCTCACTTGGTTTTTCTGATGATTGTACCAATACCCGAACAGCCCAGTGATTTCATTTGGAAGGGTAGTATTACAGCGTAACTTATCCCACAGTGTATTGTATGACACCAAATCAAATGCCCGTGACAGGTCGAGAAAGCATGCATAGATTGGTGTTCTTCTCGTTTTGTAGTATTGGACAACTTGCTTAAGGCACAAAATGGCACTTTCAGTGGAAAGCTCAGGGCGAAAGCCAAACTGAGCGTCATGTAATTTAATGTTTGAATCCAAGTGTTGGCCAAGCAGAGCATCAAGCACTTTTGCAATTATAGTAGCTAACGAAATCGGTCTGTAATTATTTAAATCTGATGCATCACCGGTCTTGTTCTTTATTATTGGCACAACCACAGCAAGCATTAACTTCTCTGGTAAATAGGAGTGGCCCAAACAAAGAGTATAAAACATAGAAAGTACTCTAGGCAAGTGGACGCCCGAGTGCTGCAGATGCTCGATACTAAGGGAGTCGTGACCTGGGGATTTACCCCTTACCATATTTTTAATCACCTTGGTCACATCCCCAGCACTAAAGCGTACACCCCGCTCCGCGTAATGTTTAGAATCGAACAACCGCGGTGCGGGCCCCAATGGTGAGTCAACTTTAAAATGCTGCCGAAAAACATTGGCGATGTCCCTAGACTGATGCACACCTGCAACGCTCACAGGTAACCCCGGTCTATGATTAAGACTGCTTGTTTTTTTCCAAAAAGCTCTAAAATTTTTATTTGTATGGTGTCCCGCAATAATATCCATTTTAATTTGTTGTTGGTTACTTTGGCACCACTTTAACTTGGCTTTAAATTTACGTCTAGACTCGCACATATTCTTGTACATTTTGCCATTAGTGGGCTTACCATGCAGACACCACACCTGAAAACAATGTCGAGCATAGCTGTGAGCGCCACGAACATGCTTATTCCACCCCGTAATATATTGACCCCTCCGCTGCTTGACAGAATAACTAATCTCAGCAGCCTCAGTAAGTATATTAACAATATCCTGATACATCCTATCCAGTACCATCCTATGACTTATATCAGAACACATACCATCGCAACATTTACTTAACGACATAGGAAAGTCAATTTTACTGAGCTTAGTATTACAATAACTATAATATTTATCAATTTGATATCTATCACGCTCGCCCCATATAATTTTATTGACATAATTGTTTGGCACTGCAGTCTTAGACTTAATTAAGTTAAAATTAGTCCCTAATAGCAAGGGATAGTGATCCGACCAATAAGTGTCATATAAAACAGATGCACTTACGACCATGTCCTTCGCAGAATCTGTCACTACACAGTGATCAAGATACCGATGACACCCATGTGCCTCACTCACATAGGTGTAGGTGTCCAGTGGTAACAGCTCCATGTCCACGCACGACCATAACTGATCCGCACAAAAATTTAGTAATTCCGTTGAAAACCGCTCACCAGGGTGCGCATTGTAATCGCCCAGCATGAACACCGACTCGACATTTTGGTTTTCAATAATAGCACTAATTTCACATA